TGTTGCATAAACAAATATAGTTCGATGTCATGTATTGTTGGTGTGAATGTATATAAAAAAAGATGGTATCAATATTCACAAACCTTCATCCGAAAATAGATTGTCAATATTTTCAGCTGATCCACTGATAAACATGTAACATACAAATGAAATAAAAGTATTTTGAAGCTCAATTTCAACAATTTTATAATATTTACATCAAAAAGCATAAATACATAATATACACAATAGGTAAACTTAATATACAATATTTTATAATACAATTTTAAAATAGTACAATTTTTAAAATCTCAAAATATTCAATATTAATTTAATAAAATAGTTAGCAAAACTACGATAGAAATCTATATTATTTATAGGAAGTATCAACCTTCAGACAACGCCTGTCGAAATTCCATGGCAATCTGACGTTTAGTTCACAAGTTACAATGGTTTTAGTGACACTACTTTTGTAATTTTCAAAATAATTGAAAAATCTAAATTTAGTGTGTTGATGCTTTTTGATGAGAAAAAAATATGGTTCTAGCAAAGCAATGGCTTGATAAGTGTTATGCGGACTCTTCTCCGTCAAGTCAAATGGTAAAGAAATCATTTGCTGATTTTAAACGCGGTCGATTAGACATAAATGATTCTGAACGCTCTGGTCGCCCAAATCAAATTCACCAGATTATGTCATACAAGCAATTCAGAGATTTGAGTGATTGAGATTTTGCTTACTTTTGGGAATGGCGATAACTATTTCTGTCGCCATTGATTCAAAAACTTTTGTGATCTGTGTTACTGTGTTCCTTAAAACTTGCCCTAGCTCCGGAAAGATGTTATGTTAGGTGAAATTGGTAGGTTTTCTTTTTTACATACATAGAAGCAATTTGGTAATATGGCACTCTACTAGGAGAAATCTTAAAATATTCACGGATTCACTTCTGCAATAATCTCAAACCACTCAAATTAGATTGCTGGTTTGAAAGTTACGTCCGGGGAATACACTTCTTCCCTGAAGTCTCCGAAGATGTAATGCCCCGGTCATGCATAGATACACCTTGCTCCTCGACGAACTGCGGGTCTATGTCGAGGTCCTCCGTGTCGAAGTCCCTGCAGTGCAAGAGGTGCCTGCTTTTCCACAGCCAGGATGTGAGATGCTTGAAGAGACAATTTTGTGGCCTGTGCTCCCGCACTCACCCAACCAACTTCTGTTGCCAAGTCGGAAGCAGAGACGAAGTGCGCTGGAAATCATCCAGCCCTCTGTTTCAGCACAGGAATTTGCAGCCCCTCCTACACTCACAGTCGTCCAGTCGACTCCATAGTGGAATGGATCAGCGGATTAGTCAGCGCCCTCCACAACGGCTTCTCGCAAGCACGAGAGCACCTCTATAGGACCATCCCGGAGGCCATCTTCCACTCGACGGGCAGGAGGATGCACATCTCCAGCAGCGGCCAGTACATCCATATCGTACTGGATGCATATCCTGGTCCCCCGCTGCCACAAACAACTTTACCTTGGCAAAAATAAACATCGCCACAATTAATGTCAACGGATGGCGAAACAAAAAGGCGCTGCTGCCATTTTGTGTATACAAAGATCTACTTCATGTCTACTTCTTCAGGTATGCTGCCAATAACTCTCCAGTTGTCATCCTCGAAGATCTGAATGCTCGTCACGTTGACCTCGAAGAAACGAGAACTAATCCAAAAGGCAAAATCCTTGTCAAACTAATTGACGAATGTCCTCTGATCCGGATTCGCTGCCCAAATCCCATATATATCTCCACCATGGGAAAGTCTATTATTGACGACATCATCGTCACCTAGAACCTAGTTGGCGACTTCGAATAAAGAGGATAGGCGATGCTACAGATAGTGAGAAAACTCTCAGACCCTGCACTTCATTTACAACGCCTGCAGATTGGATACTTTCCTGGAGACTGGAAGCATGCCAACATCCTTATGATCCCGAAACCAGGAAAAGATCTTACCTCACCTGAGTCATATTGACCCATCTCTCTACTCCCTGTGTTGGGAATAATCCTCGAAAATCTGATCCATAGAATCACTCTATCATTGTGCAGAACATCAAATTATACCGGAACATCCATATGGCTTTATAAAACGCACCTCAACCCAACATGCACTGATAAACATGTCGATACTGTCTGACACAAAGGCCTGCTGCTGAAGATGGAGAGAAACAGCTTCTCCCAATATCTAATATATCTACTATAGAGCTACCTGAAGGAAAGAACGGATGCAGTCAGCAGTGAACATCGATGCTGATGTCCCATATGGCGCAATCATTTCTCATATTCTCTTCAACATATACTGTGCCGACATACCTACCCCTGAGGATGACTCCACTAACCTTCAACAGTGCTGATTACATGGCCATTTGATCAACCCTGCCAATGTAATAGAATCTCTACGAGAGTCCTGCCGGTAACTGGAGTCTTGGATGAGAAGATGGAGAATCAAGTCAAACCCCACCAAAACACAACTAATTGGTTTCCGACATACCCGCTGCAACAGAAAATTCCGAGATTTCGTATCTTGCTTCACCGTAATCTAAATCTAACTTCACTTATCAAAAACATACTCAAAATTGTAAATCGTCGATTCTACTTAATAGCCAATTTTAGATCCAAACTGGAAGGATGTTCTACCAAAACTCTATTCCACATTTACAAACTATATATGTCATCACTTATTCCATCGCAATTCTCACCCTCATTCCACCACATCTATCAAAAAGACTACATCAATTCGAAAGTAATCAGAAAAATCCTAAAGCTTCACTACAGATATCCGTCGACTCAACTCTATGAGCACATTTCATTCCCCAACATCATGGAATTAATCAAATCACTACAAGGAAAATTTGCCCAGTGAATCCAATTGCAAAATTATCAGACCCTTTCATTATCTAAACAAAATAAAAATTCTGAACGATCGGAGTCTGACGATCCCATTTTCACTCATTTAATTGAAAATATCAATCCATGTTTTATCTAAAATTACTTGCCTATTATATATATAAATGTAACATGTGCTATGTACAAAATAAAAAAAAAAATGAAACTCTCTAGTCGCCCAAATTATTTCAGACAACATAAAAAAAAGTCCAGAAAATGGGGTTGGCCGATCGTAAATTCAAGTTGCGTATTATAGCTGACACCTTGAAGATATCAGAAGGCAGTGTATTCACCATTTTGCATGAACATTTGATCTTGAGAAAGCTCTGTCCGTGAGCTCACAGTTGACCAAAACCAACGAGCAGATGATTCCGAGCGCCGTTAGAAGCTGTTCAATAAAAGGATTTTTTCATGCGGTGTGCAACAATAGATGAAACCTGAATCTTTGGTCAAATCGGTCGTCAGCTGAGTGAATAATTTGTCCAGTTATTTCTATAGTTCTATAATTTTAAAGCGCACAAATTTTGTTAATTACTCATTTGACAAATATTTTTTTATTTGTGCTAAATTATGAATAAAATCGATACTATAAATTAAATTTAATACATAGAAAATTATATTTGTAGTAAAACGACAATGTTTCATTTTCTGAGAAAAGAGTCAAAACGACGTACGTAAAAAGCGTATATTTTTTTAAAGTATTATAGTATAGCCGCTAGTTTCGCTTTTATGGGTAGATTCAGTTTGAAATACATGTGCCACTGAATATTCAGGATTAGAAACCATTGAAGCGAATCGAAACCATTCAAGTGCATTTTACGCAGAACAGGCAATCGTCGTTTTACGGTTTTATTTTCTTGTGTATGTGCATGTAGGTTTTTGTGTAATAATGTCACTTATTGGATTTATATGAACTTTTTTTGCAAAAAAAATATTTTAAAAACTGCTATTATATATTAGTGATCATTGTATAGTCAACACAGCGTTGTATATTATTAATTTGTTACATTCATTTTTTTCGATATAACGTGTAATTAATATATTATAATAAGAATTTGATCTTATATATAGTTTTAGTATAAATAAAAATTACTATAAAATACAAATAAAAATATATATTAGTAATAGTTCTCTTTAACATTAAATCAAAATATATTAAGTGTAATATAATTTCAAATTTATTAATAAACTCAGACTTATTAGTTATCAATATAACAAAATTATATATAAAAAAGAACATTAGAAGGTATAAATACATATTTCTGAAAATGTTTACCGTACAAGATCGATAAATGTACACATTTACCGGGAAATGTATACAATTACTTCAACAAATCGTACTCATAAAACTATAAATAATATTATCAGATAAGCTTCATGTTTACATGCAGGTTTTCAATGCGTTATCAAATAGTTTCTTTTATATTTACATTTTTGTAACCGGAATTAATTAATTATTAATGCAGTACATCCTTTATCTAAATATAGCAAATCGGTTCCGCTAATATTCAGAACTGCTTCAAACCGTACTAATCGAGGACTTTAGCTAATATTAAGTGAATTTTTACAAATAGACATGCTCAAAATTTTAAAACTTAAATACTAAAGATCATTTTCAACGCGGACAAGAAGAATATATTTAACTCTTTGAGGGCGGTGGAACACGCATTGTCACACCTTTTAAACATGCCTAGATGGGAATTATTACAACTTTCTATAAAATGTACAAGAAATAGGAATTACCATGTAATTTGGTTGGTAAGTGAAGAAATGTATTTTGATAGGCCTATGTTGATTCAGTTGTCTAAAAATTTGTCTAGCAATTTAGAAATTTCTGGCCCCTCAAAGAGTTAAACACATATTTGTTATTATTTTTGCAGTATGAAAAATATTAAATGGGAAAGAAACTCTATTAGAAAAAAAAAACTCTATATAATTCTGACGTTGTTTACTGTATTTTGTAGTGAATATTTCTTTTAAAAACATATGAACGGCCTAAAAATATTAAAAAACTGCAATGTTCTGCAAACTTTTTCTAATTTTGTTGGTCATACATTAATCTTATCATTAAAGGATTATAATTAACAAAAAAGCAAAAGGTTTTAAATGAATTTGTTCATTGTTTTAATGAAATATATTTGTATAATTGTTAAAAAGTTATAACGAGAGAGATTTGCAACATTTTATTGCCTGCTGTAGATGCGCTTGGCAACGTGTGTGGTGGCTGTGGCTCCCATGGTCTAAAATTAAAATATGAAGAAGTTACGTAACGCAGTTTCATTTCAGTGAGAAGTTTTTTTGACTTACGATAACGCAACCGGAGTCGGAGAAGTCGTAGTTACGGTAACCGATTTGAGCGCCATTGAGGAAGGTCTTGACGGCGATGGTGTTACCGTTCAAAGTGGCAACGCTCTGCAAAAAGTTTAAAATGTAGTTGATAATTTGTAAATTTGATAAAATTTGTTTACCTTGAAACTTATACCAGTTGGCATTGGATCGTCGAATTCCGCTCCCAAAGTGAAGCTGAAGGTGACGGTCTTGTCTGGGTAGACGTTCTTGACGGTGTAGTTGTCACCGCTGACGACGAACTCCATGGAGGAGGTGGCGGCGTCGGCCTTGGTGGCGAACTCGGCATTCTCGCCTAAAAAAATATTTAAAAAAATGATATATACAGCACCAAACAAATACAAATTAAATTACTCACCAATGGCCATGACGAATTCCTTCAGGTTTTCATTCTTCTGATGTTGGTAGACTCCGGCGATTTGGACCATGGTGGAAGATATTTTTGATGGTCGTCGTGCGAATTTAGACACTGTTTTGCGACCATCGCACTCCTTCTTATATAGTAGTTCTCCCCAGTAGGAATACACTAACGTTATCTACCCGACTTATATAGATTACCGAAAACGCACTTCGATAATGAATGCAGCATATTTTATTGAAGGTATTCTCAAAATTTTCCATTAACATGCACTCAATTTTCGTAGAGTTATTACAATTAGAATAATATTATTAAAAAGAAAACGTACTTCAAAAATTATAACATTAAGAAACATTTAAAAACAAATATTATTTACATAATATATTTTATAGAAATATGAATAAATTAAAATAACTTACTGCACTATCAGCTAAATATAGTTATTAGTTTATTTATGAAAACTAAAAATATCCATTTGAAAAATGCTTCTTATTTGATCTAATGCTAATTAAGAGGAATCATGAGATAATGATTACATGTATTAAGACTGCATAATAACTGATAACTTATGATAAGACAAGATGGGTGTGTTTCGATCATCGCGACTTCAAAGCATGTTGTTTATTTAAATAATTACACATATAATCTAATTGTATATTATTATTGTGAGGTTCACACATGAGTGAGTATAAGATTAGAATAAGTTTAGAATAAACCGAATGTTATAAAATCTATTTCTATTCATATTAAATCTCACTTCTATACTTTTCAGTGTAATTGAAGTCTGTGCGTTCCTAATTCGTGCATATCATGCAATAATTTAATTTTTTATGAAAGGCACTAGAATAAATTTGTATTTCTATTATATTGTAAAAAAAAAGAACTTTTACAAAATAATGTAATAAGAAACTTTTCCGTAATATTAAAATAATATTATGAATAAAAACAAAAAACTAAATAAAATTACTATTTAATAAACCACAACAACTTTTTTCTGTAAAAAGATATAATTGAATTCTGTTATAATATAGACTTTAATATTTAATTAATGATAGTGCCCAACCATGTTAAGAAGTGTACATCTAACCCCAAATAAGGTCAGACGGACTTATAACCAAATACCAACTAATTGAAATAAAGCAATGACATCTAATTGACACATAATTATACTCTTATCTAAGACAGACTGGCGAGTAAACAAAAACCATTGAGATTCAATAGAGCTGCAACTAACGTGTGAATGCCCTATTAACATAATTAGAAATGAAGCCCTACTTCAGAAACTGAGCCACTACCTAGTAATCACCTTTGCAATAGTATTTTAAATGTTAAATTAGAGTTAATCTCAGACGGAAGAACACTCATTTAGTTTGTGTCTGTTAAGTAATACTGCATAGTTAAAAAACATGTTAAAAACGGAATTTCAATAATCCTATTCACTTTGATCAGTACTTCCCAACCTTCTTCACGTCACGGTATACCTCACAATCATATATAACTTCATGGCACATTGCTATAGCATAAATAAGCCCTCCGGTGCCATAATCAAGACATTGCTGGTAACATCAGTACGGAAATAGTAGCTGTTCGTTATAATACCTAATTAATTGATAGATTTTTCGCTACTGCAATATAAAATTAACTAGACTTTTACTTCATCGAAATGAATAATCGTTGTTTTTGTAAAATATTATATCAAATTCTATTTTCACATATAATGTTCCTAATGCAGAATTGTTAAAATGTATAACTGAGTATTATTTTTCTGTATAAATTTGGATATTTTTTTAAATTTATAATAATTAACTGATCTTAAGTTTTACTTCATTAATAATCATTATTTTTGGAAAATGTCACATCACATTCTATTTTCACATATATTTTTTTTATTAATTAAATGCAGAATGTATATTCGCTCAAATTTGGAACTCAGTGTTTACTTTTATAATTAATTTAGATATTTTTTACTGACTTTTCTTTTTATAGATAATTTTAGATCAATTGAAATTAAATTACTCATTAGCTAGCTTAGTTTACTTTATCTCTTAGTTCTCTTTATCTTTATTTGTAATATACAATATGTAAATTAATTATATATTTACTGCATCGAAATTAATAATATTTGTTTTTTTTTTAATTTTCAGATAAATTTAGGTAATTAATAAATATCGAACTCACTGTTTATTTCTGTATATAATTTTGATATTTCTTCTAGAAACTTTTGATTATATCGTTTATTTTATGAAATATAGTTATATTTTATATTTTTACAAAATTTATTAATCACGGCTGAATTGAAATTGCATTGCTACTAGATAATTTAGTATACTTTATTTCTTTTGAATACTATGCAATAATTCTATATTTTTAATAATACATATTCGTTAAAATGTATGATAAAAAGTGTTAAATTTTATATTTAATTTATTTTTTTTCGACAAAGTAATCTTAATACAAACCAATTGGAAGGTTTGGAGCAAAACTTTGAGAATATGGTAAAATTGTGATATTTGTGTCTTTATACAGTAATTAATTAGAACTTAGATTATGTATTGGATCATTAAGTGGTAGTCTTCGACAGATAAAATGTAGAATTGAGATGTGATTGCTTTTTAACGTTGAAATCCCGAACTTTATTTTTTATGTATACATCAATAAAACTTATATTAATTATACGTTAAAAAATACGTTAAAATTTATTTAATGAATCGAAATAAACACCTTCAAAAGAAAAACAACTCTAAATATAAATAAATAACAAAATGAAAATTATTACTTAAAATAAACAATTCGATAAAATTAAAGAAAATGCAGCTGGTCATCGACCTACGTTTTTCCGTCCAATTTCCCAATTGATCACAATTCAATTGAAATTAGATTACTCACTAGATATATTTAGTTTACTTTTCCTCTTTTAAAATACTAGAATGAAAATATACTTCAAATACTTCAACATAAATATAATAAGTTAATAATCAGATCATTTTCATAATTAATTTCATATGTTTAATAATAAACTAATAAATAATTTAAATAAAACTACTATTTGTCAGTTTTCGTTTAATTTATATAATTCTGTATAATTAGTGATATTTTCATAATTTATTAATCATAGTTCCATTGAAATGTTATTACTCACTACATAACTTAGTGTATTATTATATAGAAATTTAATGTGTAATATCACTTGTTGGATAAGGTAGCAATAAACGAATTTCACTTGCTCGATCATTAAACTGTGAAATGCAATTATAATTAATTTTACCCTAATAACACTATATAATATAATTTTGGGATATTATCTATATTTTATATTTTACTTTTTTCAAAAATACTGATGAGATTCATAAATATATATATATAAATTGTATGATGTTAATTGCTTAACAGAACGAATTTGTTAGAATTGGTTTAAAAAAATCCGTACTGAAGATTATTCATGCAAAGTCGACAAATTTTCTGGTGGATCGAGAAATTGCACAGATGTATACACATAAAAATTGAAAATCTACTTAAAATATTGTGGACTCGATAAGAAGCTCGATAATTGAGTTCTGCATAAATTGAAAGAAAGTCACTTAACACAACGAATTTTTGCTATATGCATGTGTTTGAACAATGAAATCGTTTCTTTCTTGAAACGAATTATCATTATTAGCAATGAAAAATGAAAATTGACCATCTGAAATTTTGTTTTCCTTATTGTAGCTGATATTTTTAGTTATTTTTTTGAGGTTATAGATAATATACTGAACCCTGATCAAATCATTTGAAAATAGAGATTAGTACTATAAGTTTTAATAGTAATATTTGCTAAATAATTCCAAATTCGTAATTAATGTGTTGATATTTTTAATATTAATAAAAAAGATTTTAAAAGTACAGTTTAATAACGTCTACTAACTAAACTTGTAGTTTGTAGTAGATATAATCGTGATCATATAAAGAACATGTCATTAGGAATATATTCAATGTCGAAATCACAAACGATTTGTATTGTCACGATTGTTATCAAAAAAACTTATAAATTTCAATACCAAGGAAAGCAACAATGCCGGAAATAGGGTTTGATCAGCAAAGCCGAAATAAAGTCAGTAATTGCGAATAATAAAATGTAATTAAGTCATATTAAGTCTTTACAGTGATAAATTATTTGGTGATGAATGGTTTAGATTCTCTTGAACCAACGCTTGGCGACAATTGGAGTGGACTTGGCACCCATGGTCTAAAGAGGAAACGAGAGTCATTTTAGAGAAGGAACAACGAGACGTAGAGCTATGTTGAACTTACCATGAAGCATTCGGTTTCAGAGAATTCGTAGGTACGGAAACCGACCTCAGCGCCATCCTTGTGGGTCTTGATGGTGAGTACTGGTCCAGCGGAGGAAGCAACGCTCTTGTACATCTGGCCGTTTGGCATGGGGTCATCGAATTCAGCGCCCAAGGTGAACTTGAGGTTGATGGTGTTGTCTGGGTAGACGGTGGACATGGTGAAGTTGTCTCCGTCGCAGGTGACCTCCATGGTGCAAGTCATGGAGTCGGACTTGGTGGCGAAGTCGGTGAGTTCTCCTCCTGCGATTAGCAAAGTGTAAATAAAAGATCTTTCTAATACTCGTGGAACACCTGGAACTTACCGAAAGCCATGATGAATTCCTTGAGGTTTTCATTCTTGACGTGTTGGTATTTGCCGGTGAGAACCATGGTTGATGATGTTGCTTGTAGTTTCCGTGGAAGCTGAATGCACTGAATCTGTTTGGGATGGTCTGCTTTTTATATTCGAGTTGTATCTTTGGCCCGGGCTATTATCAGTCGCCAATTCAAACAACGATTATCAGAAATGATTTACAATTTAATTAATCTAAAAGCATAGACGTGTATATATATCTATGGGCATGTACGACTTCGTGAGTGTATGTGTTCTGTCTATGTTAGTGTGCGTGTGGGCGTTGTTAAACAGAGACGTATTTCTCGATTGTAAATTTAATAGAATCTCAATCAAATTTTGGAGCAGTTATCGCATCAGAAAAATCTTATTTCAACAATAGAAAAAAAACATGCGCGCATCATCACCTAAATGCATTTATTTTATCAATACCTTGAATAAACAGGGACTTCAATTTATCAGATTCATCTTCAACGCTAATTGCATCAGATCCATTAAAGTTTTATCAAAGCAATTTAGTCTCACCATATAAGATAAACAATTTAATGTGTTATCTTTTAACATCTTCAGTCGCATAATTTTTGTTATATAATTATGAAAATTTTAAACAATAAATTTTAATAAATAAAAATAAACACGCTTAGATCGATTTCATCAAATATTAAATAACAATTTGTGTTATTAAAAACATATTTGTTAATTATTCAAGAATTCATCATTATATTTATTAATCCAATAAGCTGTATCTAATAATGCGTTACTTCATTATATTTTATTTGTTATTTTTTAATTTAATATGTTTCTGAAGATTTTTTTATGTATTTTAATTTAATTTACAATATTCTTACAATTAATATTTAGAAAACGGCGTTTTCTTTTAAGTACCAGCAATCCCACAAAAAGCAACAAAACTAATTAAATTCAATTCAAAATTAATTAAATAGTCAGCAAACTGATTTTTTTTTATCGATAAATTTATTATTTACAATCTGCCAAATGCTGGCAACGAGTAAATAAATTTGAAAATATAACAATGAGCGGAATAGTTTCCTATTGGAAACATTCCAAAATATAACATAAATAAATATTAATTTTAACAAAAAAAATAACTAAAAATGTTCTTTTAATTATACAATCTATAAGGGACATAAAGGGTATTATGAGTTTTTAATCAATGGGGAATTTCACTATTGTGTAATAAATTCATTGCTAGAGTATTGGAGTGGTTTTCTAACTTGTTTTAGTATCGCTCACTAAACATAGAGATTTCACTTTTTACTGTATTTATTTCGAGGTCATTGCGGATAACTTCGTTTGGCACATACCAGGAATCTTGTACCAGGGTACGCAGACACTTCGATTGGAAATAATGTCAATGTTTGAGTTGCTAGCTGTTCCCTAAAACTGGATACCATATGTCCACACTGCATTATATATTATCCATTCGATATGATTCAGACCCTCCTTTACGATTTTTGCGGTTTTTGGGCGCACATTTTTGTGAAGAAGGATGACTTGACCACGTGGATCGGCCCTTTTCTACAGTATTGTTTCATTTCACGCAATGAAATTGGGTATTTCACAGTAGATTACAGCTCTCCAGACGCAGATAATTGTCTTCCTGGGAAGGAGCAGATGCTATAGCGTTACAAATTTTATACTACATTTATAACATATATAAGATTGGGTAGAAAGTCTTCGGTCGAAAGGAAAGCTACTAGTGGCAATTTGTTTAGTAGGGATGTTTCTATTTTGCAGCGAAATTAATTGTGTTACATACTTCCCATGAATACGTTTTTTTTTGCGGTTTTAACGATTTCTAGTGCGCTGGAAATTTCATTTGTTTTTCCTCATTTCTCCTTTACTTAACAGCCAAATGCAATCTCTTTTTATAGGTAGCAATATAAATATTATCGTGTTAATAATATTAATTTCATGTCCTAAAATCTTTTTCTGGCACCTTATTTCATTTATTAGAACCGTTCAACTCTAATAGTATGCCATGTCGTTCTGTTATCTAAAATAAAAGAGATTTCCTTTCTAAATTCATTTATGTGGGTATTAATAAAATATTTTTTCTACTCGTCGAATTTTACATCTTCATGTGCAATATCACTACCAATTTTCGACTCCAATCAAAATATATTCATATTGACCGGTAAAACCGGTTAATCGTCAATGGAACCCCTAATTGCATTAACTAGGCGGAAAAACCTTTATAACAGATAATTATTTGTTTTCATTTTGTTATGATTAAATAAATACAGCCATACCTCGGTTAACCTTCTGACAACGAAGTGCGCAATTGTCTGAAAAATTGATAGTGCTTATAAAAGAAGTCACTAAGAAATGCTTAAATGGAGTTTGGATCAAAGTGTGATCAGAAGTTGTTATGTAAGAAGAAGAATAACAAGTTGTTATATAAGAAGAAAATAACATTTAATAAATTAGAAACGAAGTTATCCACGTGGCTCAATCAATAGATTTATAATACTTTATTTGCTTTGAAAGAAATTCTTTTTGAAAAATGTGAACAGCCAAAGATTTTAAACATGTTTTATAAAGACATCAACAACGATTTTTTTTAGTGAAAACGATTCTAATTTAGGTATATGTGTACATATTATTATTAATATTTCAGATTTAACTAAATCACGAACTTAATTACAATGTACATATTTACCCAAATAATGCCAACAAAATGATATTTAACAATTCATTTTAGCACGAAATCGAAGCATTATTTTCATTTTCTGTTCTATATTCTATCGAATTTGTCATTCCAACTTCATTTCTACTTCAGGTATAAATCAAATTTTGACTTCATTTGAAAGAATCTGATCAAGTGTCAAGTGTTCTTCCAAGTTAATAGGAACAAGTCATAATTGTGTCTGTTCATGTTAGTCTCGATAACTTAGCTGGAATATTTTTTTTACAAAAGAATATTTTTTATTACTCTGTCATAAACTAAAATTGATAAAAATATACATCAGAATGGGCAATAAATTGTACAAGTCGAGACATAAATTTCTATATCCAGCCCAAAAATACTCAATTTGATAAATTTGCAGCTCTAAACATAAATAAACCACCCTATACTAATTGTATAAGGACAAGCGCTTGTTGTGCAAATTTTACATATTAAGTCAGATATTGAACTAGGAAACAAGCCTGAAGGATTTAATAGTTTCTGGTATGAAATTCCCATTATCGTAGGTAAATATATAGTCATTTCAATGAAATTTTTTATTTAAAATAATTGATTATATATTTGGTAATGTTGCAATGTTGTCATCCCCCGAAGATTACAAGCAATTACTGCAAATTCAGCTTCTTTTCTTGATTTCATGGTTAAGTGAGGAATTAATTTTTGAAGAGGCATTGAAAGCTTTTCATTTACTTCAAAGCGTTTAACAGCTTAAGCTACCTTGAGCATTCCCCCAAATACAAAGCATGCTCTCCGCAGACAGGATCTTTATGTAATAGTAGTAGAACATCTTCACGATGCACTAAAAGTTTTAAGCAGCTTTAACGTTGGCGCGTAAAGATGTCGTGTATAAAATTTTCATTACGGCCGCTTAATAAATGACGACTTTGACATTAACCAAATCGGAATCCCGACGAAAAGGGGACCGAAGAGTAAAAGAAAATATCGTGACGATGTGAAGCAGGAGGAGGTATAAGAGGAGAAACGACGATCGAAGATGCACCTTCGTCGGAGCAGTTACGCAACGATGTTTTGGCTTAAGATCGAGCGTCTGCAATCAAAAATAGATATCGCTTGGCAAACAAATAAATACCGAGGATTTCGCAACGCGATTTGTGCGAACGCTCGCTTCAATTAAAGCAATATCACCTGTTCTTCGCACATTATTATTTGATTTTCGTCGTTGTTTGTCCCGTGATTTCTTGCAGATCACCAATAGAGAGTAGGATTACAAATGGTTCATCAAGTTTGGTCCATTCGTCTCAATTAAAAATAAAAGAGATTACCCGAAAACCGCAGCAATTTTTCATACTTAACGCCTAATGAATACTTTATATAAATACAAAACATCGTTTATCTCGTAACTCGCCTAGCTGTACCGGCACGGTCTTCTATTTCTCTTTATTAGTTTCGTTCGCCAATTACATTTCTTGAAAAGAAAAAAGTAAAAAAAAAGAGACTATATAATGAGTGAACGATGAAACGCACATAACTACTCCATCGGGGATTAAGAGGATTAAACTGGGGGGAGAGAGCAGACCAAAAGGACTGAAGAACAAAAGAAAACACAACAGAGGGGCAGGATTTAAACCCTCTTAATTGTCCCCGCTAATATTCATGTGCTCCCTTCTCCGATGATTTATTTATTTGCCCTTATTGATCGGCACACTTGATTGATATAAATAGAAAGGGAACGAGAGAGAAAAAAGTACACGTAATTTCAATTATATCACAGACTGAGAGAGTTTTCACCGACAGGAAATCGATAATCACTATCGCCGCCAATTAGTGATTGATTTTTATCGGGAGCCGAGTCATTTTGAAGCCGTTTATGAGGGGGTTTATATCGAATTATCTCTTTGGATGCTGTAGAGGACGACGAAGAGGAGGAGGAGAACGATGTCGCACACCACACACGCAAATTGGATTCAAATTGCCGCTAATCGTCTTAAAATTGCCACCGACCACCTTTTATTAGCCAATTTATTAAGCAGTACGCGATCAATTTGCAATTCGTGTCATTGATTATATCCTACAATTCGTTTAACTCAATTACCACGGTAATTAATTGAAATTACTAATCTGCATCATTCGATATAATTCATTTTTTATTGTTTATGATACTCTGCATTATATTGAATTGAATAAAAGCATGTCTATAAAAAATCGGTTCTGCTAACATCCCGAAACAGTACTAATCGAGAACTGTGAAAAAGTATAAAAATAAACCGCATAAAAAGAGTCTTGATTGTATAGAGAGCATCGTTCATTTATAGATTTTTTAATGATAATAATTATAATATTTATTAGTCATAATTCGACCAAAGGGCTAACGACCTAAGTCTTTCCTCCAGATTTTTTTTATTTTACTAAATTAAA